CATAGTTTCAGATTTTGATGAAAATTATCCCATTTTGTAGAGCAAATTTTTTAGGTATAGAATTGAATTTTTAGACTTACAGGTTAAACTTTGACTGAGATACGCTCATCCGACTAATAGCACCCAAAATAGAGTTTTTTTAATATGAGAAATTTCTGATCATCCCTGGTGTAAGCTATTTTTACGATATCTCGTCGCTAGTACGGGATAGAGCTGTGAAATTTTGTCTAGATATATATATTGAGATCTGGAATACAACCATCATATTCAATAATGTTCATATTTGCAAAAAAGTATGACTGAATTTTTTGAGGTAGTCCGGATTTCCCTATATATTAGGGTCAAAAATAGTCTATCTTCATGATAGACTTTTTCCAGATCAGTTGGTGTGGGTATGAATAAAGAGAAGGTTAACATCCACCCACACTCACACCTCACACGCTTCCTTACCAATGGAAAAAAGGAGTTGAACAGCATCAACGATAGGACTTCGATTATTCTAGAACATTCTAAAGTCTTCCTCGAAATTTGAACGGCTAGAATACGTTTTCACTTTATATATTTTGTATTAGTATAATCGAACTGAAGAATGCATAATGGACTCAACTTGGATCTTCTCTATTCGTGCTGAAAGACGAATGCAAACCAGATTTGTAACTAAGAGTCAACGTTAATGTTCATGTGTATAATGATTTGTGGATTTATCAAATCAGATGATATTTTGAATATTTTAGAAAGAGAATTAATTTCGTCTAAGTTAAAATAAAGCATTGAATTGTATGAATATGATCGTAAGTAATAGATAAATGATTTTTATTACGTGAGTGCTGATGTGGGTCAAGAGACGTTTCTGATCTTTGCATCCATACATTCACCCTCTGAGTTTTGCAAAATTTTTCTAAATACAATTTGTCATTGCAACTTCGGGTAGAGTTAAAATATAAAACATTCACATTTTCATTCTCTACATTACAGAACATATAATATTATCTCGAATCAAATTTCTTATCGATGTTCAATCAGTTGTGATCATTAGAATATTGATCTTCTGAAAGATTACAAAATATGCTAGAAGTATCTATTTGTTTATCTCATATGGAAATATCCTTCACACTTACCATCTAATCTTAATGATCTTGCAACAACCGTGATTATCATCAATAAGTCACAACGAAGTATTGAGCTTCAACATGAATCCATTTCGAATTACGCTACTAAAATATAATCAATATTATTATTTTTCTTTTTTCAAGATAAATCTATGGGAAACTCATTGAACTAATTTTATTTTATTCGAGATTATTATTTCCAATATAACAAATATGACGTGGCGTTATTAGTATCATTGTCGCGATAAACATATATGTATTTCTATTTTTCTCTATTGTATTGTCAAAGTACTCTCGAATATTTAATCTTTAAACTTTCACTTTTGGACGAGTTTTCTTCAACACTATTGAAATACTTATTATCTATTCGTGATTCTATCGTGTCTAATTATTATATTTGATATCATTCTTCTTCTTGGTTCTAAGTCAAACATTATCATTAATTCATGACCCATTGAGAACAATACGGAAGATGATAACTTTTTTTTTCACTCAATCTGAATTATTTTGCTTCGATTATTATTCGAAAATTTTCTAGGTAGTCGTTCTTTCGAACAAAGACTATCGAACAAAATGCCACCACATTAGAATCTTTTCAATTGAATATAACATAAATGATATTTTTCGAAAACGATATAGAAGATGTCTTGTCATTAGTCATGCCCTTCAAACCATCTGATGAGTCCTATCACCATCATGGTAGCACTATTCTATTGTCACTTTCAAATAATGATTTCAATTTCCGTGTTGAAGAATTCTACTTCGGAGAGACAACTCTTTCAGTTATTTGTTGTAGGATGCACCTAACTCAAAACTTTTGCACCATTTTTTTTCGCCTTTTTAATAGATTATTGAATAGAGCACATTGAGTTACGTATTGAATATCATATTACATCACAAAATATGCTAATTTTTCGTATAATTGTGAATATAATCATTTTTTTCGTTCTGTGCAACTTTACAAATATTTTTTTTCTGCGTTTCATAACACATAACTGACTAAAAACAAGCGATTTATACAAATCACTTCTTTTTTATCTAGCCAATTATGTATCGCAAAATGGAAAAAAAAATATTTATAAAGTTGGACAAAACGAAAAAGATTATTATATTCACGGTTATATGAAAAGTTAACATATTTTATGATGAAATCTAAGATTCATGATTTTTTGAAAAAACTTATGAAAATTGAAGAGATACTTTTTGTACATGACTCCATGTGCTCTATTCACTCATGCATAGAAAAAGCGAAAAAAACAATCATGCGGAAATTTTGAATTGCATGCACCTTATTTGAGACGAACAAGTTTTTTTTTCTTTCCTCTTTTATTTCTTTTTTCTTCGTAAGAACATAAACGTGAGTATTACTTGATTTTGGTGTTTGTTTTTGTACAGCTGGTCAATTCTTACGTGTGTCTTTCGTATGATGAAGCATCAAAACAAAGATTTCATTGAATGACGAGTAAGAAGTTAGTGTGTAGAAATAACGGAATTTATTGAAGTCAATCAGCATCTATTGTGTAGGGATTAACCATTTACTGTAACTTTGAATTAAGTTAAGATTCTCTACTTAAACTTTAAGATTGATAAAAGAATATTAGCAGTCAACAATTAATTTATTAATATTAAATGTTAACGAATTACTTTAGTATTTTATATTAAGTTTAAGTTTCCCTGCTTATCACTTTTAAAAGTGTAAATGACTGTGTTGAGTAAATATCATTTAATTTCGGATTTTTCTCTGCTCCAATAAGAACTCAGTGTAATGGTATTCGAGCAACACAAGGTTTTCTCCTTACAAAAGTAGAGAAAAACCCTACTCAAATCAAATTGATTGAAATGAAAAGCTCCTAGTCGATCCAATTTGAACAAGATATTTTTGCACTACGGTAAGCAAAAGATATAGTTTTGTCCGTACTGATCAAGGAATTAGCAGAAGTTCTCTTTTAAATGACTTGGACAATACCATGCTGAGTTCTTATTGGAGTAGAAAAAAACTCGAGATTAAATGATATTTGCCTAACACAAATACGTGATTTGTCAACATCGAATATTAAGAAGTTAAATGATGGATACTGATATTTTTTCATTAATATTATGTATTAAGAGAACTCAATTGATACTTCATATGTTGAAGTCGAGTCTGTAGGCTAGGATCGATGATGAACTAAAGCATGCACTCAAACAGATTAGCGACTATGTAAAAAGTCTTCGCTATGTGTTAAAGAAACATGTCAATCATTAGAAAAAAAATTCTTGACGAAGGATTCAAACAAAACATAATAATTGATAAAATGAATTCGAGAAAATCTGCAGAGAGGTTGAATGAAGACGAATTGACATCGATTTATTTGTATACAATGGAGTCGAATATGTGTGACAACAGTTTCTATGTAATTCTGAATCAAACACTCCGTTTGGCTAACCCAGAAAAAACTTCGACTATAGTTCAAATATATACAGTTGTTTCTTATAGTTTTCTTTAAACTTGAGATGATATTTCTCCGTATCATGCCAACTAAACATCGAACAATTTTCGGAAGATCGCAGCGCCCATTATCTTCAAAGAAAAGAACAAACGTAGTGAATGCCGAGTTCTTGTACACCTTCAATTGGTGTTCTCGAATACTCATCCCAATTGCATAAAACAGATACATGAACGATATTCTCTATTGATACCAAAAATGGAAAACTTTTTCGCGCAGTCACATTTTAAAGATGAAGACGAAATTCTCCTTCTTTCTAGCGCTTATCTTGAAATAATTGATCCATCGAATCCAGCTGATAATCTTTATATAATTTATCTTCGTGAGATTTCATGATTTGTTTTTTTTATAGAAAAATAAATCAATTTAAGTTTATCCTAATAAAAGTTGATATTTCTTCAAAAGAAGGTATCGATTGAGCCACATTTCTGTCACTTCTATCTCTGTTACCTGTTATGAATTACACTTCTATATGTTTGCATAAAAAAAAACTACAGTAAAATGAGAAAAAGACTCGTTGTATAGACTCTTGGGAAAAGAATAGTTGTAGTCTTTGTTTTAAATATATCGTCCCCTTTAAAAGCACATTTAGAATAAAAGGATGACATATTCTGAAAGCGCTTGGAATTTTCATTGATCAAGTATATTTTGTGTTAGTTTGCATTTATGTGAGAGAAAAGGAATCGAATGCAATGAAACCGTCTTTAGCAGCAGATTTCCATAGACTTGATTTTGCCATTGTCGTCAAAATGAGCTTTTGTTTTGTCTTACATTTAAATGGTGTAATAAATCAGTGCAAGACAATAGATAACAACATTAGATAATAGAAAATTTCCAGCACTATCACAATATCTAGTTGTTTTCTTTTTAAAAAAGTATTTCCTACAATGAGAGTGTGGATGCAAGTGAGGTGTACACCCACACACACTTCATCAGCACCCCTCATCACATATTTTCCATGATTATTTATTTTTCTCTCATATGAATAATATTTTTATGGACTTTTCAAATCTCGGTTAACTTACGTATATATTTCATTGAATGAAGATGAGTTTTTTATTTATGGAAAACATCGTTATTCTTCATAGAGAATTGTACATTAAGCTTAGGATATATTCTTATCGAAATTTGACTTCAATCGACATAAATTGATTTTTTTCATTAGACTTTGTTCGTTTTTAAATTTGATCAAGACTTTCATAATTATTAAATAATAAACATAGAAATCTATTAAAGATTGATATAATCTTCTTTCTATGTTTTTATTACATATAGATAGAATCATATTTCAAATAGTTGAAAGAAATTTGATTCGAATCATAAACGAAGAATATTGAGTAAATTTATAAATATTCATTTTAGATCGAGATATTTTCATAATTCGAGTGATTTTCTTCTAAGACAAATGGCAACAGTAAATGAATCTAATTCATGTTCAATTTGCAATAAATCTTCAGCGAAACGTTTTTGCATTGGATGTAAAAAATATTTCTGTCTGAAGGATTTCAAAGAACATGAACAACAACTATCAATGAAATTTGATGCTGAAATAGTAACATCACATGATGAATTACTTAATCAAATACAAAAATTAGAAAAATCAAATTATTTCTCATTAGATTTTCTTGATCAAATTGAACAATGGAAAAAAACAACAATCAATAAAATAGAACAAGCAGCAGAAAAAGTTCGTCATGAACTTATCGAATTAATTGATAAACAAAGAATAACAATAACAAAACAACTTAAATTGATTACAGAAGAAATTCGTTGTTGTCAAGACGAAGAAACTTTTGTTGAAAATGATATTGACCGAATTCGAAAAAAAACTCAATGAAATTCAACAAATACTTAAACCATTTATTCAAAAAGATGCAACAAAAATCATCATTGTTGATGATGATCAAATTGATTGGAATCGATTTATCTACATTCGCCAACACAACGGTGAGTATATTGAACTATAGATATAGAAGAAAAGAAATTCTCTAACAAATCAATCGAATATTGTTTGTTTATTTAACCATACATTTTTTTTTCTTTTCATTAACTGATCTAAATTGATTCATTTATAGATTAGAGTTTCTCATAGAATAATGAGTTGAATTTCATTTTAAGAAAAAGCTTTATTGTTGAATATTTGAGATTACGAGACTCCTACAATGCATAAAGGATGTGTAATAAGTTCTGATTCCCTTCAAGTAATGTTCTTTTTGCTCATGGCTTTTTTTAGTAGAATAGGCTGATATGTGCAGCAAAGATATACTAGACATCTAGATCAGGCTTGCCGATTAGGGGGGGGATGGGGGGGGATTTCCCCCCGCTAAATTCGGATCCTTTCTGCCAATTTTTTTCCGCTGTATTTCTACGTTTTTCTGCTGAAAAATATTTTTTCTCCCTTTCGTACAACCTATGTATAAACAAAATTTAAGAAGATGAATTTCTCAAAATTTCCTCTCCGCGATGCATGCATACTTATTGATTAGTGGTAGCAATGCGAACAGTTTAGTCATATTTTCCCTCTTTCTGGCAAAAATAGATAGATAGCATCAATAATATATTTTCTGCAAAATTCCCGCAGAAAATCAACTTGAGAGTACTTTTCTTTAGCAGAAAGCTCATATGTACTCTTTGCCTAAAATTTTTGGTGAATTTCGGTCTGCTTTACTGTTCATTGTCGGGTTGTGATTCCAACTGTGTCCAATATACGACGTGTAAAAGTGAATTGAACTTATTTTATTCAAAATAATTTATATTTCAACGAACCCATTCGTCATCGGCACAGTGAACAATAAATATGTTATATATAAAGTGCTGCCAATGCGAATTTCAAGCAAAATTTTTTTTTTCACCTTTCTTTTACGTCATTTGATAGAGTGTGAGCTGCTGATAACGAAAAACTACTTTTTAGCGCCAGAAAATGCTTCTTCCGGGTCGAAAAATACCAAAAAAACACATCGTTTTCAAAATGTGCAAACTTTTCTGCTTCCTTCTTTTTTCCAGCTTGTAAAGATATTTTTTTCAAATTCAGCATAAAAAACTGAGTACAGACAAGTTGTTAGATCGAGTCCAATCTAAAGAATTTTTTGATGATGGTGTTTCGAATCGCACCGAGTGCAATACGTATAGGCCGATTTTGTAAGCCTATCTAGTTTTTTTACGTAAGAGATGAAGTCAAATATTTTATCGCATTTAACTCATCATACCACCAATCGCAAAAGAACGCATCGCGTTTTTTTTCTTTTCTTTTCTTTGTTGAGAACTGTTTTTCTGAATTTTGGGCTAAATAGATAGAATTTGACTCGTATTTCTCCATTTTCTTCATAAAAACTAAGCTTTCGTGCAATAACCTTATCATATTCGGAAGCGCCGCGAAAAACTGAATCGATTAATGTATGTTTCGAAAAATTTCGTCACCTTTAATTTTTTGATGAAAATTTCAGCCAGGTCTTCTCCGAAAATTAAAAAACTGAAGTCAATGGAAAAGGTTAAATCATATATCAATGGATTCAGTTTTTCGTACTGATTCCGAATATGATAAGATTATTGCACGAAAACTTAGTTTTTATGAAGAAAATGGAGAAATACGAGTCAAATTCCATCTATTTAGCCAAAAATTCAGAAAAACAGGCTTTTCTCAACGAAGAAAAAAAAAAAAACGCGATGCGTTCTTTTGTGACTGGTGGTATGATGAGTTAAATGAGATAAAACATCTGACTTCATCTCTTACTTAAAAATCTAGATAGGCTTACAAAATCGACCAATGCGTATTGCACTCGGTGCGATTCGAAGCGCCATCATCAAAAATTTTTTTTGAGATCGGGGTCGGTCTAATAACTTGTCTGCACTCAGTTTTTGATGCTGAATCTGAAAAGTATATCTTTAGAAGCTGGGAACAAGAATATAGCAGAAAATTTTGCATACCTTGAAATCGTTTTTTTTCGAAAAAAACGACGTCCTTCAAGTTTTTCGTGATCAGCGGCCCACACTCTATCAAATGATATAAAAAAAGGCAAAAAAAATTACTTGAAGTTTGAATTGCTCGCACCTTAAAATGTCTTCATTTTTTGAAAGTTTAAAAATATTTGAAAGTGTCTTTGCTTTTTGACGAACATGATCTTGTTTGTTACTCTGAAAAGATTTCTCGATGAACTAAAAATTGTAAAAAAATTGACTTTCTGCCAAATTTTTATCCCCCCCCACTCCTAAAAACAATCGACAACCCTGATCTAGATCTACCCTACACTAGAATTTTTCCATCACACTTATTTTATTTCAATGGACATGATACACTGTTGAGTTATTCCGTTTCTCTTCATCTGACTACTTATTCTAACCATTGATCACTTTTCAGAATAGTGAATCATTAAAAAGTTCTTGTTCCTGTCTCGCTTTACTTTCTTCTCTTATTTTTACCATAAAATGCAACTGTTTGATCGAATGACTAATGATTTTTCTGTAGCCATTGGATATTTCGAAAGATGAAGAAAACTTCTCTTCACTGATCATGATAGATGTAATGTGTTAAGTTTCGAATGAAGTATACGTGCCACGAAAGCGAATCTCAAGAGTATTCGCGAGTCGAACATCTTGTAAGCAAGATCTTGGTCAAGATCTTAGGTACAGAAAAATGAACAGATCTTGAAAATTTAGGTATAAGATAATCATATTATCTTGTACCAAGATCTTGAATTAGATATTGGGTGCATACACGTAAGATCTTGGGTACAGATTCATAAGATCTTAGGTATAGAACCGTAAGACCTGGATACATACGAAGATAAAAAGTGTTGCAGGTATCGTGATTTGCGACACAATCTATGATACAATCTGAAAGTGTGGTTCAAACCTATCTTACAGCGTACTTATTATTTTCTTTTTCTGTAAAAGTATAGTATTGATTTTTTTCAATTTATCTTCATTTTAATTATTCCTGTTCCGAATAACTGAAGTAAGTTCGATCTTGGAACTTGTCTGTTCTTGAGATGGTTCGATCTCCATCAGACGGCTTCAGGTAGTCCTCTCTCGATCAACGATCGAGATCACAATTTCTCGAATGATTAATAGTTGAGAAAGAGTTTAGAAAAAAATTATTTTGAAAAATATATGTTTCGCATGTTCAATCACGTTGTTTATATACGGCTCTGTATGCATAAAAAAAAACGGTAAATGACTAGTCAGTATGTAATCAATAAACTAATGATATTGCTTTTTGGTTTTTTCAAGATCTTGTGAGAAGATAATTTTGAATGACATAATTTCCATGCTCTTAATAAGATCTTAAGCACAGATTTATTTTATACACCCAAGATATGCACATACAAATTATCTTTTCAAGATCTTCTCAAGATCTTGCTTACAAGATGTTCGACTAGGGTTTCCAGACTGTCGAACATTTTTATGACTCTTTTGAATTTCTAAGTATAGCATCGTTCAGAAATGCAGATGATTGTTCTGTCATGTATTTTGAATAGATAGAGAAATAAGTCTTTTCAGTTTTGATAATTTAAAGTTCAATCATGTTCAATAGAGAGAAATCATATTTGAAAGGATCTGAGAAAAATCAAAAAGATCATTTGAGATGTTCAATTTCTCTTAAGTTAATCTCAACAATGGCATAAGTCCAGAATCAACACTCATTGAAATAATACGATGTTTCGATTTTGGCTGATGAACTGATAGAAATTTGTTAAATATTGTTGAGTCAAGATTTGTGATAGTCGAATAGAAAAAGTCATGTTATGTTTCTTTCAAAAGTTGCAATAAGTCGAACAAAACAATAAGGAAGTGATCGAGGAATTTCCTTTGAAAGATCATTATGAGAAATTCGATTGTCTTTGCTCTCGACTGACATTCGATGAATAATAAAGAAATGAATTATGTTAAGACTTTGTCGTAAACTTTTGCTCTGTTTAAATGAGTTATTGATCTTGACTTTTTCGAAAATGAATATGTGTGTCAATTATGAAAATCAGACTGTATGAAACTTTATCAAATGTTTCTTAAAATGTCAATCATTTGTTTTTGAAAAACAAAAATAGTGAGAGATTAACTGCGACCGAAATTCAATAGTTATTTCAATCGTCTATAAGTATTTTCAACAATTATCTATTCGAAAAAATAGGTGCCGTCAAGTTTCTTCACTGCTACTAATGATCAATGATGATTTTTTATTATTAAAGCTTGTTTCAGAGATGAAAAATCTTTCGACGATGATTAGATAAACAGAAAAGTCGAAAATGCAAGTGTTAATTATCATTCAATAAAAGCTGTCAGACTTTCATCTATTCAAAAAATTAAAAAAAACGAGATTACCATTGAAACATTGTTCAACATGATCATTGAATAAAACTGTTCTTTCTCTTTTACTCTCTTGATCGAAGTTCTTTATTTCGAAGATCAGTTTTCATCGGCGTACATTAATCAAATCTGAATAAATGAAAATCGTGTTTTGTTTCAGTACCATTACTACGTAGTGCAAATCTGAATGACAATGCCAAATGGATACAAAATGGTGTCACTATTGCTGGAGGAGATTGGGGTGGTAGTGAAATGAATCAATTCTACGGTCCAAGTGGTTTGTGCGTTGATGATGATCAAACTGTCTACATTGCTGACTGTAACAATCATCGTATTGTAGAATTGAAATGTGGTGCAACGATTGGTCGAGTTGTGGCTGGTGGAAATGGAGAAGGAAACAATCCTTATCAATTGAACTGTCCAAGAGATGTAATTATTGATAAAGAACGAGATAGTCTTATCATTTGTGATTACAATAATAAAAGAGTTGTTCGATGGCCTCGTCAAAATGGTACAGATGGAGAAACAATTATTTCAAATGTTGGGTGTTGGGGCTTGACAATGGATGATAATGGATTTCTCTACGTTGTTGATTGCGATAAACATGAAGTTATACGATATCGAATGGGAAAACGTCAAGAAACAGTCGTTGCAGGTGGAAATGGACCAGGAAATCGTCTCGATCAATTGTATCAACCGACGTACGTATCCGTCGATCGAGATCATTCAGTTTACGTATCAGATTCCATCAATAATCGTGTAATGAAGTGGATGAAAGATGCGAAAGAAGGCATTGTCGTAGCTGGTGAACAAAATGAAGAAAATAGTCTTACTCAATTATTAAATCCGTTGGGAATTGTCGTGGATCAATCAGGTACTGTTTATGTGGTTGACAATGGGAATCATCGAATAATGCGTTGGCCTCAAGGAGCTACACAGGGGAGAGTCATCATTGGTGGAAATGATCGAGCAAGCCAATATAATCAACTCTATGATCCAATTGGTTTGTCATTTGATCGAGAGGGCAATCTCTATGTGAGTGAATATGGCAATCATCGAGTACAAAAGTTCAATATTGCTCAAAATTGATATTATCTTAACCTTCTCATCATATTCTTGAACAAATGATCGAGTAATAAAGTCTTTATGAATAGAATTATCTTGTCTTCTCTAGTATGTGATCATGAATCACATGTTAAAAGATCATTTTTCTGTTTTGAATATTCTGATATTATCCAAATGTTCTGATTTGCCATCGAGGTAAAAGATTTTGTTAATTTTCATCATTCGAGAATCGATGATTTCTAAAGTTTCCTTGCGAAATAGATAAATGTCAAAGATAATTTGAATTTCGATCCATCAAACAGTTGAAATTCTCGATATGCAGTGAACGATGATCTGCAATCGAGAGGGAAATAGCAGACTTCACTTGTCTTCGAGAGACCTCAAGACTGAAGTCTCTTCTATTTTCTTCTCGTCTAAAACCAGTCGACAAATCGAAAACTTGTTCATATTTCATGTTACTGCAGAACAATGAACTGCATCGTCTCACAGTATAAGAATTAGATCAAGCGAAAAGGAATTGAGCATCCATTTGAAAGGCTTAATATAGAAATATATTCGTTGTTCCTAGTAATGAAATAAAGTTGTCTTAACTCCGCATAGTAAGGTAAATCTTTCTTTTTCTGAAGAAGAAAAAATAAACTCGAGATAAAACCAGATTTTGCTAGAACTCAAAAAGATTCTGTAGGAGTTATTGTCTTACAGAATGATCATCGTCTTTATCGATCAATAAACATAGCTGCTATATTTTTATTGAAAAGCATCTGTGTCGCTTCGAAACTACGATTCAGTCACCAAAACTTAGTTTATGATGTATAGTCTTAAGTAAGCCGATTGTTGGATCCATATTTTGATGATCCAGCGATTGGTTGAGAAAACACCTTAGCATGATCTAAACCTTCTTTTACTCGGCTTTATAGACTAGAAGAATTAGTAAAAAAGTGATTTCTAGCAACATAGCGTAGCATCACATTGTGTCTGAACAGTTTGCTATTGTTTGACAAATAAGGTTGACGGTCGTAGTTTGGACGAGATGGGCTGATCCCATGAACTTTCTGATCCCTAGACTTAATGCCATTGAATTGCTTTGTATGAGAATATATGACAGCAAATAAGTGTACAGTAATTAACAAGGATCAGAACAATCAAAAACGAATCATTGGTTTTGATGATTTTGAATGTGCATAGAAAGTTTAAAGTTTTGTATTTTGTATGAGGACGATAGTTTTGAAGGGTGTTTTTAAAGTTTGCCCATAGAAATAACACTCGGCATATCCATCCATCTTTTTGAAAAGTTATTAAGAGTGAATACGATGGTAAAAATATGTAAAAAATTTTGAAAAAGGAACTTTTATGACATCCTGTAACTAAAGTAAATCCTCAAAACACTTGTTCATGGGCACTAGTACAATTCGTCACACGACAGGTCGTCGCGATCAATATGTCGATCTCGCTCTTAATTAATTTTTTTGTATAACCAATCCGAATAAAAAAAAGAAAAGAAATGAAAAAATGTGAAAGACGTACCGAAGAAAAGATTGCACTGAAGATGATAACTTTAATTGGAAAAACTGATCAATAGAACATGTTAATCACGTGTAGTCATGATAGAGCTAAAGTTTTCGAAAAATAATTAGTTTTGTCAATTGTTTAATGAATTTCGACATTATCTAGACTAACGATAACACTGATCCAATGTTCTTAATTATGTGACCGGGAGAGAAAAAAATAAATATTGATGATGTTGAAAATATATTTCATTTCTCAATCTGAACGTTTACTGTACACAACAATTCCAAAAAATGTCTAAAATCCAGAAACTCCTTTCTGAAAAAGGAAAACCAATGCTCCTCCACGAAAGTTACATCTACACTGTAGAACGTACAACAACGAGGAAATTGATTTTTCGATGTCAGAATCGTGATTGTAAAGGTAAATTCACTTTGACTATCATCAATCAATTAATTAAAATGAAAATCATTTATTAATTAAACACGTTGCCATACCAATTTATCCATGGACGTATTTCTCTCTCAACCAACATCACATGATCATGCTCCACAACCTGATCATGTTCCTGCTATCCAATTAAAGAATGAAATTAAAGCTCGTGCTGCGACAACAGATGAACCATCGAGCTCAATTCTTCATTCGGCCTTACGAACATATCCTATAAGTGCCGCTGGTCAACTTCCAAGAAGTAACGCACTTACGCTCACAGTTCGACGACAACGTACTGCTGAAACAGTCGATGCCAATGGTCGTTTACCAGAAAAATTAAGAAAGACATATCGTGATGAAGATTTCATCTTGCACGAAGACGAGCATTTAATTATCCTTACAACGAAAAACAATTTATCTATTCTGAAGCAAAACAAACATTGGTTCGCTGATGGAACATTTAAAGTGAGCTATTCATTGAATGTGTATCTTTTCTTTTCTAATTATCTTTGATGTAGGTGTGTGCGGATAATTATTATCAACTGTTTACATTACATGCAATGATGACGAATGTAATTATTTCTCTCGTCTATGAATTGTTAATTGGTAAAAGCAGCGATGATTACAATCAATTCTTCGAAAAATTATTTGAACAAGACAATTTTTAACCTGAATCAATTATGACTGATTTCGAAACTGGTAAAATCAAATCAGTCAAAGAGATGTTACCAAATGTTTTACACAAAGGTACGTTCCAGTCTATTCACAAAAAAAAAGATAATTAAAATGTTTGTTATAGGATGTCTTTCATTTTTCACAAGCGGTATGGCGACAAGTTCAAAACAAAGGATTGGCAACCAAATATAGAGAAGATGAGTCTTTTCGTTTAAATATAAAAAAATTAATTGTTCTTGCTTTTGTTCCAGTAGGTGAAGTTACAACTGCGTTTGACTTAATTGTCGGTCAATTCGACGATGACACCGACGATTTACTGGATTATTTCGAAAAAAACTTGGATTGGTGAACCAAAACGAAGAGATAATTTTTCTTCTTCATTCTTGAGAAATTTTAAATGTATTTGATAATCTTAGGAACTGGTCGGAAGAAACCTCAATTTGATCACAAATTATGGAATATTCATGATCGTGTAATCGCTGGTGTACCTCGATCCAATAATTCAGTGAAAGGCTGGCAAAAAGCATTTGCCAATCGCGTCTCAATCAAACACCCAAACATCGTGAAACTGGCAGAAAAAATTCGTCGTGAACAATCAAAATTCGAAGTGGACATCGCAAAAACTCTCCAAGGCCACGATATTAAGACGAAGAAAGCATGTTATCGACGATTGGACGAACGAATTACTCGGTTGATCAACGCATTTGACTCATTTGAACTGGATCAATACTTAAAAAATATCGCAGCCAACATTACTCTTTCGATTATTTTTTTTCTTTCTTTTTTTTTTGGATATAATTTGTTTATCGTTATCTCATGTATAAGTACAATACACAAAATAAAAATGAACTAATTGATCGCGACGAATTGATCTGTCACCGGTTCATGATTAAGGATTTTCAGTATATTCAAATTCAAATGAATTGTTTCGTGGCTTCCTTGTACTTCTACTTCTACACGTCAATCAAATGTTTCGATTTCGATTATATATTTTAAGAAACAGTCTATTTCTATTTAATGCAATTAAAATATGCTTAGTAATTTTTACTCACAATGGAGGTGTTTGTACTGTCCGTCGAAAAAATGGTACATATTCGAGTCAAATGAAAGCTCTCACCGCCAAACTAACAAGGTTAAAATATTAGCTGCTATTGGCTTGCCTAGAGGGAGATATTTAACTTTTAAATTTAAGTACAATAATGAATGAGGAAAGGCTTTCTCTACTATTATAAGGACAAAACAGAGTGTTGTTCGGGGCGATTAGGGGGTTTGTAGGGACCCTCTTTCATATGGCCCGAAGAACACCATGTTTTGTCCTTGTAATAGCGGAGTGAATTTCTTTTGTGGTTGATAGAAAAAGCTATATCCTGGAGCTATAACAAAAATTCCCTCCACTATTATAAGAACAGAACATGGTGTTGTTCGGACCATATGAAAGAGGGTCCCTACAAACTCCCTAATCGCCCCGAACAACACTCTGTTTTGTCCTTATAATAGTAGAGAGAGCCTTTCCTCATTCATTATTGTACCTAAATTTAAAAGTTAAATATCTCCCTCTAGGCAAGCCAATAGTAGCTAATATTTTAACCTTGTTAGTTTGGCGGTGAGAGCTTTCATTTGACTCGAATATGTGCCACTTTTTTCGACGGACAGTACAAACACCTCCATTGTCAGTGATATACTTTCTGAAGCTCTCATAGTAATAAAGTTCATAATAAAAAGTCTATAGTATTCTTGTGCTTTAGTTCATTAATATACGTTACGAAAGAACGATATCTTTCAATCAAAAATCTAAACTTTAATGTTGTTGATGGCAATTAATTCAACTACTTGTATGCTTCTTAGAATGTTTCCTAGAGCAGGTAGACCTGACAGATGAAGTAGATTCTTTAAGAAAAAAAATGACAGGAATTTTCATTATTAATGGATAACTCGATTCGTGAACAACATCTTACTAGTTGACAAGAAGTTGTTGAATGAAAGCAGTTCACCTTTCATGTCCATTAGATGTTGAAAATCTTGTTCAATGAGTCGTTGACCACGATAAACAATGATCTTTTCCGTAAAATACTCTCTTTGCTCTTTGTGGAGTTGTCCCAGCTGTCGATGAAGATTTCGGATGAAGGAGCCCTTTTTTGCCATGACTTCCATATCCAATGATCGTAAGGCGCAATTGAGCATGCCATAAAGAAAGATTTCACATGTATACCAATAGACTGGCGATTTCTTGTGATAATTGCTTTGAAAATCCTTTAATTCTGATTCACGAACATCTTTGTTACGACAGTAGACGACAAGGTCGTTTAGCGGCTTAGCATCGTCTTCGTTGATTTCCAATATGATTTCTTTGAATAACACTGAATACATAAAAAGACGGTTCCAATTGGTCCAAATTTTCTTGACTAGATGTTGCTGCCATCATTCGCTTTGGAACGAAGCTCATAGGAATGGCATTGTGGTCATAGTCGCGAGTGACCTTCTTCACAGAATTATATATGGGCTCGATTTGATCTCATTTTTGAAGAATGTCCATGTATTACAATGCTGCTTTCATGATTGCGCTGCATCTATCAATCAGTCACATGTTGTATTCTTGTTCCTTAGCAAACTTTAGAAGTCTTCCATTTTCTTTCACATGAATCAGTGTATAACGTGAATGAATAATAAAACCACTATTTTGCTTCTTTATGCTGCCACACGTCGGATATTTATGATCGTTGACTAAATTTTACTCGTTTTCTTTTTGAATTTTTTTTTCTAACTGAAAAATGATTGTACCACTCTTGATAACTGTACCGTAAATAGGAGCTCAGAAGAGGTACTGACAAACTTCATTAGGTCGACATCACAATAAAAATTTGATTGCTAAAACTCTATTGTTTTTCTTACAGTATTTCTTTGTTCATACCTGTCAAGAGTCCTAGATGTATATTCACTAGAAAAAGTAACAGAATAATGAAACTGATGAAGAATCTAATAAAATTTGAAAAATCTTGAAAAAAAGGAGTGATTCTGATGCAGAGTTTTTCGAATTCCAGTATATATAATAAGGACTGAGAATGATCTGATGACTTGTAGGCCTCGCATGACTAGTGAAATAGTAAACCGATTGTACTCATAACTCTGCTTGTTATATTTAGTTGATACATTTATCATATTTCGTGTTTATACGACAATCAAAACTTTAAATCGAAGCGTTGGAAAATGGTTCAATTAAAGCATGAAGAACTATACGAACTTATGGGAAAGTTTATTTTTTCGATTAGAGAGGCAAAGCACGATTCGATGGCGAAGGCATTTTTGAAAGAACAAATCGTTTTCAAATATTAGATAATGAATATGAAATACATCGAATAAATTCTAGAAGTGCAATTTGGTAAGATGCTTATGGACTAAATCCGGATACGTCTCGAAAAAACTACTGTTTTCAATATAAAGCTCTACTATCACATGCAAGAAATCAGTCAATCTATGCTACATTATTGTCTTCAAGATGGCTTTAAATAATGCCAATTAGTACTTTATTTTGATATTGTATTATGAAGATAAATCTATTCAATATCGATGCGAAGAGATCAAAACAAAAATTTTCTGATAAATCTTTTTAGACACAAGTAGCTATTGTGAAGATAGGAATTGCTGCCTCTCAGAAACATGATAATTATTTAAAAACGACCAAGTCACATTTCAACCATTAGTAATAGTTACAGCCCTATATCGACGACACCTTATATCGAGTTAGGTGGTTACGCATCCTCCAATAGACCCAATCAGAGGTGCATTGTTGAGCGTGTCATACACAACGAATACCGATAACTCATCGATAGTATGAAGTGTTATTATTGTGAATCCACTAGAGAGTATTACAGTGGATCTAAGAATTTTGTATAACTTATTATATAGACTAACTTTCTGATAAGCTAGTAATCAGTTAGCAAGTTTCCGTTGTACGACCTAGATTAACTGAATATAATGATCTCAAAAAAAGCTTTAAAATGCCTGTTTTGCTGAAAACTTTACCACAAGTCATCACAAATCAAGTTTGGGCTTCTCAAATTTTCTTGTATGCTTGCGAATGTCTTTGATGAAAGATATCTTGAGGTAAAAACACCTTCAATCTTTGTCCATTCTTCTGCTCATGCTTCATGTCTTGTTTTATCGCCACAAAAGATGTAAATTGCGTCCAATTGTGGCAAATCATGAATCTGGGGTATGAGATCTTGTCCTAATGCTCTGGATGAAATAATGAAAGCTTTCTCATTGTCTATATCATTAAGGAACTTGATACATTGTGCTGGCGTCCTACGCGGATTGACTTCTCTGACGACACTGCGCAATTTTGCCAGCGTGTTTGCGCAATCTTCATTGTGTTCATTGATGTTATCATCGAGCCAAATCAGTAAATAATTTTGAAGCCGATCCCGATTTGGTCGGCTGGCAATAGATGAAGGTTTTACAGTCGCAGCGGTGTACATAGCGAAATGGAATATGTTGTTTGAATTGTGCTCGCTTGAATCGTATATGAAATGTTGTTATTTAATTTAACACGATGAATAATTGCTTGTTAGTTATACAGAGGTCATCTTTTTTATTTCTACAGTCAGTATCTGGTGTTTTTGTTTTCTATATTTTCTGCGACATGAAATATGACTTTTTTTCGCTGACATTCGATGATAAATTCTTCTTAGCTTCAGTTCAAAAAAAAGGGAGACAAGTGCAACAATTTCACTTATTTTATAGTTATTCTTTCCAACTTTCGTGTGTATCTTTTGATTATATTGACTTTCATTGTACTTGTAAAGTGAAGTTGACGATGGTCGATAAGAAAAAAATTCAGCACTAGTAAACAGAACGATAAGAATAAAACAGTAACAAGCAAGAGAAAAGGACAGAAAGTAAGGATATCATTGTTATAAACTTTTAGCCTAGAAAGACCTTATATAGTAGAAGAATAACAATCGCAAGGGAGAGAGGATAAAAAAATAACTTGCCAACTTATTTGTGTCCTATTTGACAGAATGTAGATTAGCAGATAAAAAGAACAACAAGATACAACTAAATCCATAATAATATGTTGATCTCATTTGGTTCGAATCTCTGCCCATCATTAATAAGCCTTCAACAGATATTTGTATTTAGAGACAAAGCTGGAACAATGAGTAATGATTTCGTATTTTAAAGAAATAGTTCGTCGACAGACTTACACCAAAAATGATACTGTTCGTGCCGGATAGTGAATTAAGTACACTGTCGATTCTGAACATTTTGAAAAATGTCTAATACGAAAAAATTTTTGAGAATCCAACCGAGTGATGCGGGTGTGGACGTGGGTATGAGTTTTTCTGTTGATTATCGTCACGCCTACACTCACACCCATCAACAAGCATATCCACACCCACACAGGAAGTGGGTTGTGAGTGGGTGTTTGTGTATAAAAGTAATTCTTCCTTACGCTGCACCAATCCATAACTCCACTTAGATCACAGCACAGCACGGCACACTCACACCCTCGCTAATATCAACGCTCATACTGACACCGACACCGACACCCACACCCACACTCACCCACATCCACACCCACACCCTCACCCTCACGCCCACACTCACATGTCCTAAATCAACACACACAGATATGATACAAGACAGATATTAAAAAAAAACGAACCCCACCTCCCCTTTTCATTCCCAATTAAATATCTAAACACTCATGGGATGGGGTGTGGGTGTGTGTAAGAGAGAATACTAGACTCATATCCACACCCACACCTACCCTCAAGGAAACCTGGTCCAATTGTACAAAAATTCTGTCAAGAAATTTGATAATATCTTCGAGAAAATCTGATCAGATCCTGAAAGATGTGACCAGGAATCGTTTTTTTTCCAATTTGAGTTATGAAAATCCTGACAAGATCCTGGAATTCCATGGCTACACGTTTCTTTCAGGATTTGTGGGCTTCTTGGTAGAATCCTGCAGCAAAAGACTATGGCAATCCTATCAGTATCCTAGAGAATCTGGTTTGAAATCTTGCCAGTGTCCTGAAAGACCATGGCTACATGTTTCTTTCAGAATTTGGTCGTTTCCTCAGGAAAAAATGGCGAATCATTGCAGGATCCTGATCATATCCGCTAAGAATTCGGCACTGAAATATCAAAGATTTCCCCTAGGATGAGAACACAGATTATTTCATTTAGAAAATGTGCAGTTATACTATTATTTTTATTACTATTGTACATTGATATATCATATTTTTTGCTTTTGCCTTTCTTCTTGGTGATTTCAGTGGAAATGGGCCAAAGATTTCTTTATGTACATCATAATAAAATTTAATCGTATATTTCCAATCTTGACAAGAAATAAGAAATTGTGAAAAGACTAAATTTCTTTCATACAATTTTTTTGGATCATTTATTTTTGATGAGGATATGATGTTCTGATAACTGAACTACTTGAAAGCTCAATTCAATTATTGATATCTTCCCACGTCAAACAATCAGATTGTAAGATCTGACAAGAATCGTACCTCTGATCATATCTGATCTGATAAGATCAGGCAAAAAATCGTAATCTCTGAAATCTTACACAAGATCGTATTATAAAATTCTTAAAAGATTATGTTGCGTAGTAAAATATCGTCATAATATTTTAATCAAACTCATATATGTTGAAAATATCATCATAATTTTGTAGTGAAAATAAAGTGCATTTAAGATCTTAAGAGATCTTGTAGTATGATCTGATGTAAGATTTCAGAGACTACGATTTTTCGTAAGATTTTCCGTATGATTTCGTCTAGGTGGCAAGATCTTACGTCAGATTTTTTGACCTGGGTTCTTGAATTATTCAAAACTCTAGTCCCATTTCGAGAGTATTAACATTTTGTCACACTCATATTTGTTGACATGCCGTTCGAATATTTTATTACAAAATAGTTCACCAATTCGAATAATTGTAGAAGATTTCAATGACTGAATAAAACTTTCAAGTTTGACACTATTGTTATTAATGTAACCGTGTTAACTATTTCCCGTTCCTCTCTTCTTACTCTTTTTCTTGTCATTTTTTTTGCATACGATAGATGATCGTTCTCGTGCGCTTATGTAACTGCATGAGTTACGTGGTAAATCGGCCAATTTGTCTTACGAATCCTTGTAAACGAAAATAGTATACTCTTTCTTTTTCTTCTTCGTACGACGCGTCGCTATTAATCCCGTCAGGCACGTATATACGTTGAGTGAAAAACGAAAAACAGCGGTAGATAAATATCACGCACACACTCAATTTATTCATTTTCTTGTTATTGAATAGTTGCAAGCAATGAATATGGACAGCCATAATGCTTGTTTATTGATGTTAATATCATGGATTGTTCTATCGCTCATGGTTCGACAAGAGGTGATGGCAGCAGCTATTAACGGTTAGTATTATCCAGATTGCTGGATTTATTCCTAGAAAAGTGACAGTATGCAAAGAAAGAGAATTCATTGTAAATTAGTTCTAATGAGCAAGTTTCGATGCACCTTGCATGTTATTTTGACGAAAATAATTAAGTGAAAACTGGCATCGATATTAAATCATCTGTTCTAAAATTTTCTTCTTCTACAGATTTATGGCGCTGTTATGATCCGACTAAAACCATTATTGATTGCACATATCAGAATATTGATTTTAAAGTCGATAAAACGACAAACGATCAATTTTCTCCGACGCAGTTAATGCATGTCAAAGTGTCTGAAGTCGCGAAGTCGCGGACATCCTATATGACATCATTAACGTCGCAAACAAAATCATTTACTCCAGTTGATCATATTCTTGCCAGTTATGCCATGCGAAATCTATTGAAATTTTATGCGTCACCAGGAAGTGCGGAAACAGCTGCACGCGCGTTGCTAAAACTCGAAAAAAACTCGTCGATTACAATTGTTACGGGCTTCTGTGTGACAGAAAGACTTGTGGATGGTAAAAAGGTGCCGGTAGCCGAAACAGATGGTCCTCCAGGTGCAGTGCTTGCAGGTGAAACACTTCGCAAGCTTTCCTATCATGTGTCATATGTTGCTGACCCCGTCACATGTCATATTCTCCGCGCTTGTTTGAAATCCATCAAAGTTGATGACAATTATGTTCACGAATTTTATTCACGTCATGATGAAAAAGAACAGGTTGCGGAAGCGCATAGACTCATTAATCAGCTTAAACCCAAAGCAATGCTTGCTGGAGAGCTCAGCAGCCGAAGTTGGAACGATGGGATTCGTCGCAATATGAACGGCAAGAATATTAATGATTGGAATCCGCCAGTCGATGAAATGCTCGTCCAATTTAAGGGTAGAGGTATTATCATCGCAGTTGGTGATGGTGGCAATGAAGCTGGCATGGCCAATCTAAAAGATAATATCCCGCTCGCTTCAGATGGGAAAACTATCATGGCGAGTGGTGTATACTCCGATATTCCTATTACGTCATGGAATTCAAATCTCGGTTTGCAAGCAATTGCTTCCGTTGCTGCCGCAGTGGAAGGCAGATTTGAATGGATTCCAACGCCGAATCAAGTCATCCAGCTAATTGAAGCTGCTTTGGATGCAGGCGCAGTAGAAGGCGTTACTCAAGGAAAACCAGAAAATTCCTTGAACGGAACTTATGCAACGCGCGGTGTGGACGGTTTTGCTCCTTATGTTCATGCTGCTGACCAAGATAAAATCAAGAGTACATTGATCCAAATGAAAATAAAAGGGTTGTTATAAACTACATATCGATTCTAGTTGAGGGTATGTGAAGACACACCCATTCACTCACACCTACATCCTGTATCCGCTTAGCAAAAGTAATTCCAGACTTAAATATTTTAGATTATTTTGAGCGCAGAACATTGCGTGTAGGACAGCATCACAAGTCGGACTAGACTACTAAGTGGTTTTCCATATACGATCATATAGGGTCTCCAGTAAGTAACTCCACAAAGAAAAAGTTGAATATCTCCATGATGGCTTGACCAAACGGCCTTATTTTTTTTACCAAGGATAGAGACATGTTCACACTCCAAATCCATACGGACAAGGTTAATGAAAATCTTTGTTAAATACCACTATTGACCTCAACAAGAGAATTTTACTTCTTCACAGATAGGAAAAGAAAACAATATGCTTACCATAGGTTCTCACTAATCTCGTCCGTATGGATTTGGAGTATGAACATGTCTCTATTTTTGGTAAAAAGATCAGCCCGTTTGCTCGAGCTGTAATGGTGATATTCAACTTTATCTTGGTGAAGTTACTTACTGAGCACCATATATAATGAATCTATCATGTATAGATCCTGCCACATCGAATCGAAATCAGCACCATATGTGCAGTCAGAAACTGTAAAAGAATAATTTTGCATATTTACTGTTTTATAATCTTATCTTCTTACTCAAACTAACCTTGCGTTCTTTAGCTCTTTCTAGTGCGAGATCGTTGTCATTATCATAGTTGCAATTGCTAGTGTAACTGGTTTTGCCAAGTTTTATCCACTGCTTCTGCTAAGTGTCACAAGTAATAATCGTGATCACATTTTTGAAGATAAAAAAAAACAGAAATCGTCCAGGCAGACAAAATCAATAAACAAACGTGTTTTTACACATTCGAGTTCTTAAATTAAGCGGTCTGTTTAAAGAAAAAACCAACAATTCTATACATCAAGATTTTGTTGAGAGATTGTCATGATAACTTCTTAGCTATTTCATTATTATTCCAATCCTTTATTGCTATCATATCGATGAGACTTCATTATCTGTTAATCTATTCCAAAGCATACCATTAGAATTTTCTCGTAAACAATGTTGATATTGCAAGAAATGTTCTTAAAGCCACTTTATAAACAATGAACTAAAATTCGTTTGAACATGAATGGAAGTAGGGGTGTCAGTTTCGCGTTTCGTTCCCCGTTTTCCGCTCCGGAAACGGGGAACGCTGACACCCCCAGTCGTCAAGTTCTATTATTTCAAGGTACCCATAGATCCTCAAGTCCTATTATATGAAGGTACTCATAGGTCCTCAAGCCCTATTGTATGGAGGTATCTATAGGCCAGGAGAAGGGTGTAACAATGCTAGGGGTGGCACTTTAACACTTTAACTTAAAAAAAATTAAAGCTAAAGTGCTTCTGCCATTGGAAAGAAACGACCATGCCCAGATCTTGGGTCCTCATTTAGCTATCCAAGGAAGGATGCTTGGGTCTTCATCTGCCCATCCTAGGATGGGTACTTGGGTTCTTATATGGCTACTCTAGTGGGGGAACTTGGGCTCTGATATGGCTATCATAGGAGGCCTACTTCGGTCCTCATATGGCAACCCTATGAGGGTACTTGTGTTCGTATATGGCTATCCTATGAGGACCCAACTACCCCTCATAGGGTAGCCGTATAAGAAACCTAGTACCTCACTAGGATAGCCATATGAGTAGGGATGTAACAATACCAATACGGTATTGAGGTATTGGTATTGGTCGGTAATGGTATTGGTGTATGGGGAAGGGGGAGCTGCTGGTCCCTCATGTCAAACATCAAAATTTTGAAAAATCGACAACGGATTCGGATTCCTCGATCCAGAAAAATTTTGATCAAACTTTATGAGAAAATCGTCATTTGCGTAAAATAACGTATTTCTGATGAAAAAAACAAGAATTTATAAATGGTTTCTGAAAATTTTTGAATTCGATGTTTTTTCGTTAAAACAAGGTTATTTTTCGAAAATAGCGATTTCTTATAAAGTTTAATCAAAGGCTTTCGAGGTCGAGGAGTCCAAATTCGCTGTTGGTTTTTCAAAATATTGATGTTTGACGTGAGGGGCCAACAGCTCTCCCCCCATACACCAATACCAATATCAATACCAATACAGGTCAATACCAATTGGTATTGGTATTGTTACTTTCCTACATGTGAGGATCCAAGTATTCCCCATAGGATAGTCATATAAGGACCCAAGTATCCCCGCTAGGGTAACTGGATGAGGACCCAAAAACTGGGCATGATCATTTCTTACCGATTGTACAAGCACTTTAGCTTAAATTTTTTTAAAGTTAATGTGTTAAAGTTGGTTACTTTAACTTTTAAAGTAAAGTTAAAGTGCCACCCCTAAACAATGCTAATACTTCTCATACCAATACCACTTGGTATTAGTAGTGCTGGTACTGGTAGTTTCCCAAGGACAATTGAACTACAAAATTCCGAAAACTAATGATAGATAAGAATTCTTCGATCCCGAAAAACTTTGATCAAGTTTCATTTACAACAAAACCGTTATTTTCGTAAAAAAGCCTCCCGCTAACCAAAAAACCAAGAACTCCAAAGTAATCTCTCCAAACTTGAGGTTCTTGACTTCTTCCTTAAAGAAAGACTTTTTTCGAACAGAACGGTGCTATATACAGTTTGAAAAATGGCTTTTGGAGTCGAGCAATCCGAATCTATCATTAGGTTTCCCAAAACTCTCAAATTTGATTTTCCTTGGAAAATTACCAATACCCACACCACCAATACCAAATGGTTTTGGTATGAGAAGTATTAACACTGTTACATCCTTCTCTTGACCTACGAATACCTTAAAATAATAGGACATTAGGACCCATGGACACCGTCATATAATAGCACATGACGATCTATGGGTACCTTGAAATAATAGGACTTGATGACTATGGGTGTAAGCGTTCCCCATTTCGAGAACGGGGGACGGGACACATTCTTCGTTCCTGAGAACGGAACGCTGACGCCCCTATTTGAGAAGGTTTCATTGTTTCTTTCTTCTGTCATTTAACAAATATAGATGCTCATTTACAATAGATTTAATCCAAAAGAGTATGTCTATTTATCATACAGATTAATATCATGTATACACGAATCAGTAAAAGACATTATGATGATAATTTTAACCTTTACTTAAAGGATTTTCGATCTGCTCGTATTCTGGTTCTACGTCTATCAAAAGAGCCTTGAAAAACGACGTAGATATACGATGAGTAATTGAGTAGATCTCGTTGATGTACGATTCAATATAAAACAAACTCGACTATGATGATTTACCAACTACTACTGTTGTACGAGTTGACTTCTTCAGAGCTCCCTTGACTGACATTCAATTTGATCATATACGGTCTCATCGTGGTATGCTCTGAGAGTAGCTCGTGCAACGTTCAAACGCAGATAAAACACATCTAAACGCGTTTATCAAAGAAAGTAGTAAAGAAATGCGGGTAGAACCCATCGGGTTCCGACCTATTCCCGACCCAGAAATTCTTGAATTTTATATGCCCTTCTGAGTCAGGATCTGGATCCAAGACCAAAAAAATCTGATCCGCCGGGCCCGGACCTAACAAAGGAGGTGATCAAAAATCATCAGATTTTCCCCCACTCTCGAAACATTATAAAATGAAAGTACCCTAAGAGCGTACATTTACCTGGATATCCATTTGCTGTGATTGCGTCCCTTTGTGGATAAAAATATATATAATGTTCAGTGTGTGTCTGTGGCCAGGTCAAAGGTTAAAAGTCAGGGATCAAAAATCACCGAGCGGAATTAATCATGCTCAAGAAAATTCTAGAATCTCCAAAGCTTTCAGGAATCTTTTACAGAGTACCAGAGGTTACAGAAGATTTCAGAACGCCTTGAGAGATTCTAGAATTTTCTTGAGCAAGATTAATTCCGCTCGGTGATCTTTGACCCCTGACCTTTGACCTGGACACAGCCACACACTGATCATTATATATATTTTTATCCACAAAAGGCACAGAATCTCAGCAAACGGATATCAAGTTAGTTATACGCTCTTAGGGTACTTTCATTTTATAATGTCTCGAGAGTGGGGGAAAATCTGATGATTTTTGATCACCTCCTTTGTATCAATCGGATCCGTATTCGGGTCCAAAAATTCTTGCATCCGATAAGCTCTAAATGCGGGTAAATGCAGTTTATAGACGTGTACGTGTTTAAACGGAAAGGGTGTGGGTATGGATATGAGTCTAGTATTCTCTCTTACCCACACCCTGGAATCTACTTTGAGATTATTGGTGAGTGCTATCGTATCCAGTGTTCATTACTCGAAGCATAGATTGCCAAATGTAATATTGAATCAGATTATTTTTGGTTCTCATGAAAGTGTTGACGAGATGATTGTTTAACGATGGGTAATTGAAATAGAGAGAGGAGCAGATTCATGTTGACCTATCTAGAAATTCAATTTAAATTAAACCAAATTAAAATCATTTTTTATGAAGCATTGATTTGAACTGAAAAATTTTGATTGGACAACTATAATGATCATCAGTAGAATTCTACAAATGATCGTTAAGAAATTATAGTAGGAGATTCACTCCCATTTGTCAAAAAACATCTATAGTGTTTTGAGTAGCGTCGGAAATCGAGAAAATAATGCACAATATGTGAATACAGAGCTCAAGTCAGATACCATGAATATCCTTTCCTCTACTAATCAACGTTTTCTTTTATTCATTGCTAAGGTAAACCGAGAAGATATCCTTTCGACTAACAATCAGCCTTATGGCTGCAGGTCAAATAGAAATTATTAATTTTTTGAAGTAGCTGCATGTTCTCCAATACATAAGAGGCCTTTACTTACATGACTGACTGAATCCAATGCAGTTGATTAAATATTAATCGAATTACATGGCGATGTATGATTCTGCATGGTAAAACTAATTGAGGTTACAGTGCTGTTTTAGTTTATTCAAATGAAGTGGGGATCTGGGTGAAGTACAGGTGAGGATGAGGGTGAGGAAAGTGGTGTGAATATGAGCGTGAGTAAGATCTACCACGGCCGGTTTCGACTCTGCTCACAGATGGTGTGGGTCTGGGTGTGAGTGTCGGTATGGGGTGTAGGTGGGTGTAGGTATGGGTGGTGGGTGGATGTGGTATGGGTTGTGCGTGAGTGGGTGAGTGTAGGTATGGGTTGTGAGTGGGTTGTGAGTGGGTGGGTATGGGGTGTGTGGGTGTGGGTGTGGGTGGGTGAATGTGGGTGAGTTGTTTGGGTGGACTGTGTGGATGAGCGGATGTGGGTGTCGATGAAAAAGAGATCCAAACTCACACCCATGAATAATATACTTCTCTATTATTACTATGAGAAGAAATCGATCCGAAGTCGAAAATTTTTGATTTTGCTATATTGATTGTATCTGAAACCGATGTAGAACGATGTTTCATGCATCTCTGCACACGCTACAAATAAGATGACGATGGGACTTCAAAAAACATTCTTTTCAAAGTCAAAAGAAGTTGTTGTTTTGTATACTACCAGAAGACACTCTAAAGTACTTACAGGTATGAATGAAAGGCAAAAATAATTGATTTTCGGGCCCATAACAGAGAACATGCTGGCACTGGAATGGTATGATAAAAGGGAAGTCATAATGCTACTTACTATTCATCAACCTAATATGAGATTTACTGGAAAAACATGATCCAAAAGCTAAACGACCGATTCAAAAACCAATTTCGATAATTGATTATAATTCTAACAGATGGGCAACTGACAAAGTATTCATGCAAACTAGGTTTGCTGAATGTGTAAGAAAATCGCTGAAATGGTATAAAAAATTATTTTTTCATATGCTTAATTTGGGTGTGGGTGTGTGTTGGTGTGCGTGGTGTCGGTGTGTGTAGTGTATGGGCGTGACTGGGTGTGGTTGTTGAGGAAGAATATATCCACACCCAGCCACACTCACGCCCACGTCCACACTCAACAGTCTCATCTTTATCCCGTTGATGTTATTAATCTTGTAATCATTCTGCTGATGTTTTGATTACTCTTCATACATGTGATTGCTCTCTCGCTTAATGTTCGATACATATGATTGTATTTTCTTCTCTTCCTATCAGTGATATAAATATAAACATGTATAGGTACGTCAATTAGATTAGAATCATTATAATGTTAAAAGGTCACAAATACTGTGAATATTCTCATCTGTGCAGTGCTTAGAAAGGGTTTAGACCTCCAAGAAGGTTTCAAGCCTTCTGATAACGATTGTATTCCATTAAAAATAAGGGCCAAGCGTAATTCTAAAACTTTCTATTGCTTGCATCAGTATGCTGCTGATATATTACAGTTAAGAGCATCGACTCTTCACATATTCATCAGCTTAATGTGTATAAAAAAACAAGGCAACGATATAAGATAGATGATACTTTGTTTTAGTGGAATCAATATTACCAGAAACAACAGCAATACTTGATGTTCGGCTTTTATCACGTAGTGAACAACAAATATATCTATTACGAAAAGCATTTTCAGATGGTATTGTCGATCGTTTAAGCAAGTAACCACAAGTAACGTTCATCGGATTCCGATTCACTCTTCCCTAGACTAAAAGGCGATGAAATGTGATGTGACTAGATATGTAAATGAGACTATCAAAGGGTACATCTCTCGCTGAAATCCAAAGATGTTCTACA